GTCAGGGTCACTCACACACTCACACGTAGACACACACGCGTGCTCACGCGACCCCGTAACTGTAACGCACTTGTTTACGTGGCGCGCCACCCCGCTGAGCGTGTCTCTCGAGAGAAGGGTAGCTTCCAAGACCCTACCGATCTGGCGTGGGTCTTTCCGGCCACCTGCTACTGTCTTAATTTCGGCTACTGCGAGCGCGCCGCTCCGCAGCCACGCGTTGCAGGACCTCGTCGAAGCGGGCCGCGGCCGCCGAACCACCAAACCGAACGGCCGCTCAAGCCAGGGCCTCGGCAGCGGGAAAGTGTAACGACTTAATCCCATCAAAGTGCGCCTGTGCGTGCCTTAATTATTCCCTCTGTTACTTTCCCAAACCAAACAAACGCGGCTCGGCGCGGCTTGGCGGCTACGCACGCCGACTGGGCACGCCGGGCACGCGAATGCGGATGAGCACTGGAGCGCGGCGCGACGAGGACGGGCCGGGCCAGCCCCGAAAAGAAAAGGAAAAACACCGCGGCTTTTTTTCGGCGGCCGTCGCAGGCACCACCGTTTTATTTGAAACGCCTTTTTTATCCTGCAATTTTTATTTTGTGGGCTGAGAATGAATGATGAGTGTTCGATTCGGCCGTCGTTTGTTTTGGCTGCACGGCGGCTGGCCGTCATAGTCACCACAGGCAGACCACGGGACTCCGCGCCACCCGCTCCGCCTCCGCGGCTGCACCGAGCGGCCCAAGCGGGCCGAAGCGACGAGCAAAGAAAAGTGAAGGTGCACGGGAAAGCGAGAGGGGCAGTGCCGGGCAGCGCGGGGCAGCGCCATCCCAAAACGGGAGGCAAGGAGAAAATAAAAGGATGACTGACGGAAAAATGAATCCCAATTACCCCTCATTTTTCGTCGTAAACAGAGAGGCGCCTGCTTGATGGGGGTCTTCTTTCCGGCCGCCGCCGACAACTACACTGGGAGGCGATGGCACGGCAGCAGCGCCGCGGTCGAACATTTGAAGCCTCCTCGGTTTTTTTCTCTCCCTCCTCAAGCTGCGGAGTAGTTTTAACAAGCCTGCCATAAAAGCCCGCGCCTTCGTGTCAAACGCAGCTTTTCCACGATGAGTTATCAAGAGAAAGCCACCCCGCCGTCTTTCTCTCTGTCTCTCTCTCCCTCATCTTCGAACTGCATTGTGTGTGTAGAGCAGACAGTGCCTGGCAGGCGAGCCGCGGCAAGGCAAGGCGAGGCAGGCCGAGGCACGCGCCCAGTGATGCATATTGCCATTCAGTCACAGGCAATCTTTTGGAGCCTTTGTTGCACGCACAGCGACGCAGTCTCTCCCCCCCTTCTCTCTCTGAGTCACCGCGGCGACAAAGAGGGCCTGCAGCAGACGACGCGGGCTACGCGGGCCCACCGCCCCCTCTCAATCACCGATGCGTTCCGTTCCGGCCGGTGGCGTCGGTTCCGTGCCGCGCCGAGGCAGGCCGTGGCGGGCTGCTCCTGGCCGGGGCTGGCCGGCCGAGGCAGGCAAGGCGGCGTAATCATTATCATAACACGATGCTGTCGAAGCGCGCGGCGCGGGCGGCGCGGGCGAGCGGTACCGTTTGGACCCACGCATGCGTAATGCACGAGAAAGCAAGGACGCTGCACCCCGGCCCGGCCCGGCCCGGCCAGACCACCAGCAGTGCACGCAGTGCTACAGACTGCGATCCCGCGCGCCGTCGCCCTGCTCTCTCGCACCGCGGCGCGGCCATCCGCGAGTGCGAGGGAGACGGAACGAGACTGCTGCACGGTGGCTGGTCTCGCGCAGACCAACAACTCCCTCACTTTCCTTTTCCGTCTTACATTATTCATCCCGCTGCGTTTTCCAGGAGCAGCGGCGTTCGGCCGGGCCGCCAGGGCACCGCCTTGTTGCGGAGTTTGTTGAGCGACGCCACTGTTTGCATCCGCCAGTCTCTCTCGCACTGCCACGCCGCGTCCCGTGAGTGCGAGAGAGACGCAGCGACGCAGCCTGCGGGGGGCCCGGAGTGCAGCCCGAAATGACGAGTGGACGAGGAATGCACGAGCGTCATAAATCCGCTAACGGGCGGCGGGGCTGCGCCATGGGCACTGGAAGACGGGCCCCGGTCCGCCCGGCCACGGCCTGGCCCACGGGGAGAGGAATGCGTTTCATAGCGGAACCGGGCCCAAATTTATAAAGCGATAGAAACGGACCACGCGTGGCCGCAGTTAGGCTGCGTCCGGTTACTCGCGGGGACGCCTCATGCCGTAATTCAAAACACGAAATTCGGTCATCAGAGGTCAAGAAAAGAAGAGCAATGCCGTTTTGAAAAGAAGTAGAGTCTGTAGTCCTTGAACTTGGGATCCACGTACGGAGGCGTGGAGGGAGGCGGGGCTGAAGCCGAGCTTAGCAGCCGAATTAGGAAAGCAGGAAAGAAACTGAGCCGCAGACAATCAGGTCGGATGGTAAGTGTGTCGAACGCCGTCTCGGCCTTCACCACGAATACGAGTAGGACAAGAGGAGTACCGTGGGAGGAGCGAGGTGGCAGGGCCGGCAGGGCGTCGGCTGGATGGGACTGGACCACGGCTGTGAGGCCCCGTCGGCGGCCCGGTAGCGGCCCCCACCCCGCCCGACCCCGCCACGCTCCTACAAGGTCCCACCAAGGCCTGCCCTCCCCCACCCCGTCCCCGGCCCGTCCCCGGCCGGCAGCGTCCTTGAGTGAACGGGCAGCCGCCGCCGCGCCTCGGGCACTCGGACACACGTTATGGCTCGGTCACGGAAGTCTCCATTCAGGCTCCGGGCTGCCCCGCCCGGCCCGCCTGGCCAGCCGCCCGTTAGAGGCCAAGCAGATGCGCACGCGGGGCGACCCGCCGGCCCGGCGGACACGCCTGTGGGTCGACTCCGGACCGGGCTTGGTCGCGCTGTCTCTCTCGCACTCGCACGGGACACGTGGTGGTGCGAGAGAGACAGCTGCTGCTGCCGCCAGAGGATAAATGATGAGGGTTGGCACCGCTAGGAGTGCGGTCCACTAGACGACAGCGCCCGCCACACAGCGCTGCTGGGCGATGCAGCCTACCCCGAGGTTCGCAGGCGCTAGACCGCCTGCAGCATAGGCCAGCCCGCCACACAGCGCTGCTGGGCGGTGCAGCCTACCCCGGGGTTCACAGGCGCTCTCTCGACGGACCTACTAATTGTTTTCTTTCTCCTGCCGCCCGTACAAGGCAGGAAATAATTATTCTGAGCGTTTAGTTACGCAGAGCACGCACGGGGCGCACGGGCGGTCCGAAAATTAGACCTGGAAATGGCACCGGAGGCATCTCTGGCTGGACCCCTCCCCCTGCCCCTCCTCCTCGGCCCGCGGCCACTGGCCTGCAGAGAAAGTGGCGGTCGTTCATGATCCGCCACGCGGATGTCTGGGCGTCGCCGTCGTCGCCGTCGTCGCCGTCACCGCGGTGGAAGACGTCCGGACGCACCCGCAGCATCCCGGCCGCGCGCCGCTTGGCCGGCACGTCCGTCATTGTCCTGCCCCTCCACAATAAACACTGGCCGCTCAGAGAAAGGCTACACCGCAGCGGAGTGTGCCTGGCGCCGGCCAAAGACGCCGCCCGATCCTAATCTGATCCCCTGCCGCGGTCCCGGCCGTGGCGCCGCGCCGGCCGCGCCGGCCGCGCTAACAAAGCCAATAAGGGGAACCGCCGCGGTCCGCCGGCCGGCAGGCAGCCCCCCGCGGGGCCACCACGCCCCGCCCCGCCCCACCCCGCCGGTGCGTACGGCGCACTGCACAACTTGTCGCTACCGGCTCAATGAACCCCGGCCACTGTGCCCGCCTTGGCCGCCTTGGCCACCGGTGGCTGCCAACGCTGCTACTCCACTGTCCACACTTTTACTCGGGAAAGCTCCGCGCCGAACGGCCAAACGGCGGCGCAAGCTGCGCAAGCAGCGCCACAAGCACATGCAGTGGCGGTGGCCGCGGCGGCCGAGGCGGCGGTCGCGGCACGGACGCCGCACCGGATGCAGGGGCAGCGAGCCCAGACCCAGATCTGGATTCGTTGGTCCACGGGAGAGAAAACTGGATAGGAATGCTGCAGGCAAGGGGGGTTCTGCTCCAGCTCAGCGCACGAACGGCCGCCGTGAGTGTGTGTGCGCGCGCGTGTGTGTGTGAGCGCAGATGACGGGAAGGGGGGTGGCGGGCGTGGATGCGTCCAAGCGGAAGTCCCTTCTCCCCTACCTCCCCCGCCCCTGGCCCTGGCCCAGGCCCTGTGTTTCGCTCGGCCCTGGCCGCCCTGCCCCACCCGGCCCCACCCTGCATCGCGGTGGTACTCATCCTACTCGCATGGCCAAAATGGGCGTGTAGGTCTGTGGACGCCCGGTGGGCGCACTCACTCACACTCATGCACTCTCGCTCACACCACTGTGCGTGTAGACGGCGTAGACGGGGAGGCGAGAGATGTGGCCGCCACGCCACGCCGCCACGCCATGCCGCCACCCGGCTTGCTTTCTCCCTCCCCTGCCGGCCCTCGTCCTCCTCGTCCGTCCTCTTCGTCCTCTTCATCCTCCTCGCTTCAACTCAGCAATGGAAAATTCTAAAATTTCAAATCAGACAGATCCTCTGTAAAATTTCAAAACTCACAATGTCATATGAAATTGAGGGCTTTGATTGGATGGCGAATGTTTGACTGTAAAATTAAGGGGTAGGATTCGATTCAGCAGATTTTTCGTAGACTTGATTCGATTTGATCTCACCAGAAAATCCCAGCTTCACAATATCTACCCTCATCCTCCTCGTTCTCCCCGTCCCTCTGGTGCCCCTCTTCCTCCTCGTCCTCCTCGCCCTCACCGGCCAGACGGTTCCTCTCCCGCTCCTCTCCGCTCCCCTCCCGCGCGGCCGCTCCTGGTCGCTCCCCTCCACCCGATCCGGTCCCCGGCGGCCAGCCGGCGCAGCGGCGCAGCGCCGCTCCTCCCTCCCCGCCGGCCAATCACACGCGGTCCAACAAGGCCTCTAGAGGGGCAGTTTAAAAGCCAGGGACCGGCATTGAGAAGGCACACAAGCTCTCAGTCTCCGAAGGTGACAAGACGCGTTCCTGCTCAGTGCGATCCGTGAAAAAGCGTGTGTGGACCCCCAAAGGATACCCAGCAGCGCCGCAGTCGCCGCTACCCGCCATCACCATGACCGGCAACACCTTCAAGCTCCTCGGAGCCTTCGCGTTGTGTTTAGTGGTGGCCTCCGCCGCGTCCGTCAACGTGGACGCCAACTCGATACAAGACAGTGAAGGATACGGTTTCGAGGAGTGCCTCCGCAAGGACTCCATCTCGTGTGTGCAGCACCAGGTGTACCGCCACCTCAGATCCTTCTTCGACCAGAAGTCCGTGGAGCTGCCCGGCGGCTTCGCCCTCGTCAAGGAGGGCGAGCCTTCCCGCGACGGCCGCTCCGCCGAGGAGGTCCTGCCCGAGGGCGCCGTCGAAGACCGCGAAGAGGCTCTCGAGACCTTCGCCGTCCAGAAGGCCACCGAGTTCTTCTCCGAGAGGAGCCTGCGATGGAACGTCCAGCCCCTCGTCAGCGACGTGAGCGCCGGCGCCCGCGCGCTCATGGACTACGTGCCCACCGAGCTCAAGGCCAAGGTCACCAGCTTCATGACTGAGGGTGAGTCTCAATTTCTCATCTTTCCGGGTGTTCAAAATGGCGGCGGAGATTTCCCGCTTTTGTCTCACTGCCCGCGTGTGGGAATACCGCGGCTATCGCGATCAGGGCCTGCAGCGCCTGCAGCCTCTCAGCCCGACTGGCGAAGAACGTCTCTTTGGCCGCCATTGTTGCTGGCGCCGCGTGCGAGGCGCGAGACGCGAGGCGCCAACTGCACGCGGCGCCACTGTAAACAGGGTACACAGTGTGGGAGCGCGCCTCTTTCTCGCGAGCAAAACAAACGCCAAATTGAGCATGAATATTCAAATTGTAACGGTCAAACTCGTTCCTCGGGCGGTAATCCCCGGGGGAGAAAAAAATACGGGAAGCGCCTCTTCCCCGGTCCCTTTTTTCTCTCTTTTTCCCCCTTTTTTCTCGCCACTTCCGCTGTGGTGTCGCGCCGTGCTCGCGTGTCTTTAAACATGCGTGCAGCCCGACTTTCTTTTCCCTAATTCCCCCGCGCCGTGACCACAGCCATAACTCGTCCAGCTTTACGACGCACTCCTCCGGCACCGTTACCGGGTGGCCTTGCGCTTCACCTTGGCTCGGGCCTTGGCTCCACTGGCCCCGATCGGACGCGACACCACCTGCTGCGTGGCCCTGGCCGTGGCCCTGGCCCCACCCCTCTCCATCACGTTGCAAATCTTTCACACGCCCCTTCTGTCCCGCAGGTCGTGGCAAGAAGAAGAAGATCATCCGTGCCCTGATCCCCGTCCTGCTCGCCGCCAAGATGAAGATCGTCGGTTTCCTGGGTCTGGCCTACGTCATCATCGCCCTGATCGCCAAGAAGGCCATCCTCGCCTCCCTCGTGTCCCTCGCCATCTCCGGCTTCATCGCCCTGAGGAAGCTCCTGGGCAACCAGTCCCACGGCCACGAGGTGAAGGAGGTCCACGCCGAGTACGCTCCCCACGGCTGGTCCGGCGGCTACTCCTCCGGCGGCTGGGACGGCGGCGACGCCCACGGCTCCTACTCCTCCCCCGTCGCCCACGCGCTGGCGTACAACGGCCAGAAGCCCATCTCACGGCGGTGAGGCACAGGCCCACCCTATCCACCCAACCAGCGCTGCCATGTTGCTCGAGAGGTGAGTGTCCTCCAGGATGTCGATCGGGACGTCCTTCTAGCGGGTTCGTTTGCCCCTCGCGGCCCACAGACCAGTCGTTTCGCCGCTCGTCGTCTCTGTCACACCGTACGGGACGCCCCGCGAGTGCGACCGAGATCATTCAACCCACTTGGCGCGGAGGCTGTCGGGCCGTCCTGTCGGGCCGTCCTGTTGGGCCGTCCCGGCGGCAGGGCAGGTGCGATCGGAACGACGGGGCGGGGCGGTCAAGGCCTGGACTAGGCCTGGACTAGGCCTGGACTAGGCCGGCGCGAGCCAGCTCTGGAATGTCCTCCAGCGACCACTCCCCGCGTTTTGCCTCCCCAAGGCCCCGAAGGCCGAGGGCCCGAAGGGGCGGAGACAAGTGGGTCATTCGTACAACTCGTCCGTCCAGTCGCGTGACCCAGTGACCAGAGAAGGACCGGCAGGACACCCGCGCCGCTGCATCCCTGGTGGCGGCGCGGTGGCGGCCCGGTGGCGGCTCGCTCCGAGAACTAGCAGGACAGGTTTCTCTGAGCCCCCCAGCCCCTCCCACCGTGTGTAGCTCATTTCACTCAACTCTTTTTAGTTGTTTACGTGCCGGCCGGCCAGCCTTGCTTTCTTCGTCCTTGATTCTCACTCGAGCTGCTCCTCCGACGCCTGCCATTAATAACGGCTCGATGGCCACGCTCTCTCTCTCTCTCTCTCTCTCTCTCTCTCTCTCTCTCTCTCTCTCTCTCTCTCTCTCTCTCTCTCCCTCTCTCTCCCCCTCCGCTCCCCTCTCCGTTTACCGGACGGACAAATGCATCGAGATGATAGAGGTACTGACCCTCTCCTTTCTCTTTTGTTCCAGGTGATACATCGCGGACAGTCCTGGACGCGCTATTGAAGAACCTCCCGAGCGTACAAGCATTAATTTATTTGTAAATAATTTATTATTTTTCCATGTTGTATTGTTTGTTTTCCTTTCAGAAACCGACACGTAAATGTTAACGAAACCGTAACAACGACAAACGGAACTTTTACACTGCTCTTTGAAAGTCGAAGATGATACTCCTAAAACTATACGTTACAACCTCTAGTCCTATATTTGAGCACAGGCTTACAATGAACCAAGACTTAAGTCTAGGATCAGACGACAGACCAAAGACTTAGGCTACTGACTCAAGACAATTGACTCTGGACGGCTTGACTGAGAACTTTCCCATCCTTGACTTTTAACGTTAGACGATGAATGAAGTATTAGAATCCTAGCAACATATCTCAGGTACCTTTTTAACGAGTGCTCCCGCCTAGATGGGTGGCGCCACCTTTCCTCATCTTTTTGCTATTCCTGTCTGACTGACCGGCGAAGACTTCTTTCCTTTCAGTGTTTCTCTAATTGTTGTTAAGTGACTCCCTTGTTCGCTCTCATGCATCTTCTCTGCTCTGTGATATTACTTTTTCTTCTCGGTTGGAGCCATGAGCTACCATCAGTGTTACATAGCGTCAGAGGAACACGCACACCAGATGGATTCTTTCATTACCATGCATCTTTTTAATGAAACCTGTGTAATGAATCTCCTTGTTATGCCCAAGAAATAACAGAACTTTACTAACGGAGCATTGAGCGTCCCACTTAACACGTCTAGTCCTTTGTATTTTGCTCAAAACGATGATTGACTTCTTCATGACAGACCTCTTTAATTGAAGGACGATATTTCTTTATCTAACAGCTCATGCTTTGACTTAAAACGTTTACTTTTGTACATAGCTGAAATTTCCTGCTTACTGTTAACTTTGTGACACACTCTACTACCCACACTGACTGACTTAAAAATCTACCCTTCATCCTCCTTATTTATTGAATTAATTTATTTTGCATTTTTATACTTCTCCGTCCTACTGCTGCCCCTGTTCATTTCAAAGGTAGAAGAATGTCTTCCTTCATTCGCTAACTGTTCCACCTGGTTCTGTTGTGTTTCTTATTTATAATTTTGGAGATCTTCCACTGTGTGTCTGATGAAACGGAGAGAACAATCATGTGTTCCCTGTCTTGTTCGAAAATAAAGAAAAATTTGCTGCGATATTTGGGTTTAATTTCCCACTCATCTGCCATTGAAAACACAAAACAGACCAACCACATTTTGTTGTTTGAGCATTGAGGAAAGACCCATAAGCTACAAAACAGATGAAACTTTTGCTTGAGGACACTACAAAATGTTTGAAACAATTTGCAAGCATTTCCCGCTGAGAGTCAAATTTCCCATGTCGGTCGCAATCAAGAGGAACTGGAACACGCTTCCCTTTCCTAGAAAACTGCTCTCTCCGAAGGGGCAGTGCCACTGCTACTGGCTACAGAAATGGAACGGCTTTCTACGAAACCATCACACATCTCAACAGCTTTCTTCATCAATACATCAGGTGCTCTTTTTTTCCGTGGGTCGTAAATCATCGACTGTTGTCACGTTTCGGACTTGGTCCCAATCAAGGCTCCCCGCTGGGTGTGGCCGCGTGGCCCCGGCTCCAGCCCCGGGGGAGAGTGGCGCTGCAACGGAGTCCTGCATGCCAGCTCCGGCTGCCGCGGCAGCCACGGCAGGTGCTGCCCGTCCCGTCGCGCTCTCTAGCGGGCTCATCTGCGTGCCGGCCTGCCTCGGACACCTTCTCCGCCTTCTCCACCTTCCAGCGGCTCGAAAGAAAGCGAGCCGGCCCGGCCGGTGCGCGCGATGGACTTTATAGTAGCCACACCAACATTTAGCGGGCAGTCGAGCCGAACGAACGGACGCGAGACATTCACAAACAGCCGCGAGCGGGAACACAATGCAGACTGTGTCGAGTTTACTCACTCACTAATACCCTACGGCAGTATGGTCAGAAAAAAAAGAGTAGCCTGCCAATGATGAATTTTGATAAATTCGAAAGCGGGCGTGGAGGTTTCTGAGCAGACCTTTATGTACACGGCTGGACACAAAAATAGAAAAAGAATATTTTTTGGAAAAGAAAGAAAACATTTTATTGAACAGCGAATCGGATTTATATGACAGCAGAAGGAACGTTGTCACGTCACGTTCTTGATGATGACTAAACAGTTGCGACGCGAATGAGCGGCCGGGCCTCCCGGCCGATGGGCAGCGAAGACGAGTCGAAAGTGGCGGCAGGCACCGCAGGCACCGCAGCCACTGGGAGACGAACGCCCGGACACTAATCCGCCCCTGGCCTTTGTCATGATGCGGAATTGAGGATTCGTGAGGTTCCTCTGCCGTGAACGCGCAACGCTTTGAGAGGCGTTGACTTGCAAATCGCCCTTGTCCCGCGTTTCGGGAAGGGATAGACCGGCCCTTCCCAGGTGAAAAGCGTTAACATTCGTTAAACGAACACTGAGGGAGGAGGACGAGGAGTCAGCAAAACGGCACAATGTTCGTTTCCATATTCTAAAAGATGATTCCTACAGGCGACGACTGCAGAGTTCTCACCTTCCTTTCCTTCAGCTTCACTGCAAAAAAAAGGTTGGCTTGCTAAGACAATTCTTGGAATGGGGGAAGCCCTTGGAATAAGATAAATTGCCTGAGGCTAGGTAATGTGAGATGACATGGGTCACGATGAGCTTCTCAAAACGACGGTCTGTTCACCTTGACGACGCTGATTTTCCTGTTCCGAGACACGGCCCTGCGGGAGCGCTCCGCCGCCACGCCCGGGAGGTAGACCTCTCTTCCGGCTGGGCTCCTCGAAGGGCTGCAGGATGGCGGGCGGCAGGGCGCCGTCGGTGAGAGTGGAGGCGGTCCGGAACCCCCTGCGGGTAGGCCACCCTTTCGCCGGCAGGAGAAAGGTCCACGTCGAGTAGGTTGCCCGCTCCGCAGGCGCGGTGTCGGAAGGGTGGTCTGGCGGCGCGGCGGCCTTGCAGTGGAGAAAGCACGCTCGTCCTGCCTCCGCGCCGCGCCGCCAGAGCGCGCTGCGTGCGCCACGGGAAGCCCGGCCGAGCACCAGCTGACCTACCTCTCAGTCGATCCACGCGCATTTCTATCCTCCAAGCTTTCATAGGAACATTGTAACTCTTCAAGAAAATCGTTGTTTTTGCGTTTTAGTTGAACTACACTATAGAAATAGTAAATGGAAATAAATACAGGATAGCAAGGAGGTGGAACTATTGAATTACAGAAATGGCGTGTCAGCTGGAGAAGGAGAGTACTTGAAGCCAGCAGGACTCCACCGTTGGAGCCCGATCCCTATTGTCTTAGCATTGTTTTTTTACCTCAGCAGCGCCTACCGCCGAACGCCGCCGGAAGCCTCAGTGCGAGATGCTGTGAGGAAATCAGATACAAAGGGAAATACTAGTTTCGGCTATCGGGCTTCGACCCTCGGCTTTCGGCCCGGCCGGGCTGATATGGGTGACACAACTTTGTGCGAGTCGCTGGCACCACGCTGGGGCGAGAATGGGAATGGGACGGTTCGGAACATCCTGCTTTGCAAGCCGACGGACAACTTTCCTAGAGTGTCCGCCGCTAACGGACCCACTTTTTTTTTGTGCCACGTGCAGAACACACACTGCCCCCGACAATAAATGAACTCAACATAAGGCAAGTTTGTGTTTGGGAAGTAGTAAGGAGATCAGGGCGGTTCCAGCTGTGGAGAGGCAGCCAGCCTAAGCGACGCCCCGCGGGATGATTCCAGGCTGTCTGGCACTGATGGCAAGCTGGGTGCGAGAGAGACAGCTTCGACCGGAAGCGGAGATGAAGCACGCGTTGCCCGTCATCGGCGTGTCGTTGCTCCCGCAGCTGCCGATGAAAGTCTTGCACAAGGGAGGCACCTGGACGCACCGGAGCGAAGCGCGGCCGCTGAAAACGGATTACACGTTTTGCATGCGACTCCCGGACGCCGCGCCACGCCGTGCCGCGCGACGTAACAGCAAGCAGGGGCTTCGTGACAGCCTGTTGCCGCTGGCCGTTCGGCGGCCGTTTGGCCGGTAATGCTCCAGCACGCCCCAACAGGCAAACAGACAAACAACTTTCGATTTCCCGGCCGCGTGCAAGTCTGCAGGGGCGGAGCGCGGCGTTTTGAATTTCACGAAGATTCCCCGCGCGGAACTGGCGGACGACGAGAAGCTATACACTGTGAGTCCGGAACGTAGGTCCCAGGGTGGGCGTCGCGCAGGCAGACCAGCGAGTCGTGCTCATCAAAACGCCTGGCCTTTGCAATTACAAAGAGCGTCGTGGTGTGGCGGTGCGCACCGGATCTGGCGAGAGAAAATAGTTAACATATCTCAGCGCAGGCCGGCCTAGCCCACATGCCGCGCGACGATGCCGCGCGACGATGCCAGGCGACATGCGACGACGCCTCTCCCAGGCCGATCAGGGAAAGTGTCAAGTGGAGCGCGGCACGCGGGGATTCGTTTGAATCAGATTTAAATCGCGGCCCGCGTGAGACAATGGCGTGGCGCACTGGAGCACGCCGCCGGTACACTACTGCGAGACAGAGGGAAAGAAGAAAAAAAGGTCGAAAAGAAACAAAACGCGAAGCTGGCCGGCATTCATAACGGAATGGAGGGAAAAGCGGGAGTCACACCTTCGCTGAAACGAAACCGCACCTGGACGTTAATGAGCACTGGACTTCCTAGCGGTCATCATCCGAAGAAGAAATCGACTCTTGCATTGACTTTCTTCGTCCCGCCGCGTCCCGCCGTGCCGTGTCCGGCCGGCCGGCCGTCTGCCGCGGCGTTCGCGCGGCGTTCGCGCAGCGTCCCGCCATTCCGCCGTCAACTCACTTTTAATGCTCGCGCGGAGAATGACTCGTCACTCGAAACAAAAAAAGGGCAAAATAACAACGGGAAAGGATCACCGTGCCCGCCAGCATCGGCCGTGCGCGAGCGGAGAGCAAGGAGGGCCACGTGCGGAGCTGATGCACTGTGGGTGCAGGTGGCCAAAATCCTAGACGCGCTTTTGAGCTCCAGAGTCGCTTCACAGGACTCGAATCGTACGTGTGACCCCACCAATGGATTCCTCGTTCGGAGAGCAATCCATTGGTGGGGTCACACGCACGGTTCGAGTCCCGTTTAGTGACTCTGGAGCTCAAAACGAGTCTATAGAATTTTGGCCGCCCCAACCGATCTTCTGGCCCACTGTGTGAAGGATCACAATTGCCGAGTTTGAACTCGTGGCAACGAAATGCGCGAAGCAGCTTGAAGAAGAAGAGCGCATTCCGCTCTAGGCGCGAGCTACCGCCACCTCGCACTCCATCCCACTGGGCCGCCCGGCGTCAGGTTGCGGCCACTCCGTGAACTAGGGCCTCATCCTCTGCAGTCATCATTAAAAATGAAAAATGGCGCGAAAAGGCCTGCGTCTCGCGCCACGGTGTCACTGCCGGCCGAGCCGACCTGCGCCACACCTAACCCACATCACGGACTGACTCAGCTGCATACGGAGCGCGGGGCTGCAAGTCATGTAAGGCGAGCCACTCCGAGGTGTCATCAGGAAGACTCTCTGAGGGACGCCGCCGCTGCCCTTGAAAAGGAAAGACGTTTTGCAATTGGGTTTTCGTTTTGTTTTTTTGGCACCGCGGCGCTGCTGCCGGGGAGAGCGACTGGGTGCAACTCTATTTGTCACTAATGACTGACGATTCGGACAGCTCGTTAGCAAAATAGACAGGCAGACATCCCTTCCCGTCTGTGAATGAGTCATCCCGCCGCAAATGAGTGCTGCAGGGCCGGCAGGGCCAGATAGCTGTAGGGCCCCTCAGACTTGACTTGTGCATTGTTGACAACTCACCTGGATGAAACCCTCCTCCTTCGGTTGAGTGCGTCACACAGTGCAGCAGTTTGGCAGGGACTGATTCTCATGACGCTTGGTTAGGTTAGGTTAGGTTAGGTAAGGTTAGGTTGGGTTCGGTTAGGTCGTGTTGGATCGCATTGGTCGTTACTCGCGTTTGTCCAGCTTCAAAAGCCGTGACACTGTTTCAGCTCATTTTGATTCGTTCGATTGTCACTGCTGCTGACGCATCGGCTCGTTTTTGTGCTTGACCGAGAGCCTGTGATGGCTGCCTTCAGCGCGGGGGCGTCGGACCACCTAGCCGCGTCTTGCTCCGCGCGCTGCGCTTC